TATATAGTGTGCATTTAAAAAGTAGAGAATATTAGAAGAGAGTAAATCTAAAATAATCGATTTTAATATTTTTATGTCGTCACAATCAATAAAATAAATTTTATAAAACTGATATATTTCAGAAATAATAATAAGTTTTACATTGCAATAAAAAAATTAATATAATTTCAAAATTAATTATTTTTTTATTTAAAAATGTATAATGTTTAAACTTGTGGATTTTTAAATAAAATAAATGTTTGACAAAAAAATTGCTATTTTATATATAATGGGATTCCAACTTATATTTAAATAACAAAATTAATTACATATAATTTGATTCCATATGAATGTATTTTTTCACTGATTTTGAAAGTACAAATCTATGATTATTCTTTTGGATTTACTTACTTCTGTTTTCATAGGTAATATTATTGCGAATTATTTATCGTAATGAATGACTGATATTAAAATGGAGGAACATAACTATTTTGATTCGTATTAGAGAGCAATATACAAAGAACCAACACCGATCAGTCTTGAAATTATAGTAACCAATAAAATACCGGTCTTATACACATTGCAAAATATATAAATATAGAAGAATAACAACTAAGATTTTCGTAACTATGTGGTAGTCGATAATTATAATATTAATTTATAGGCCCTTGCATAGAAAATTGATCGCAATTCAATACGAGTTGTATCATGTTTATATTGGGCTCATATTGGGCAAACGATGCACAGAAACCTGTAATATGTATGCTTCTCGTGTAAAATAGATATTGTAAAAATGAAAATTCTTTACAACCATTGACACGTAAAAGTGCTGTGTACCTTTGTAAATATTAATTGGATTAATTATCTGTATATAATAATTAATTACTATTAGTTGGCAAATTGTGTTCTTTCATTGCGTAGTAAATTTTCCTCCGCAAGAACTATTCGAGAATCTTTGTGACATATATTATGATAGTTAATCTTCATTAAAAATTTTTATTAGCTTAGGTAATTGTAGTCTGAAGTCACTGGACCTACTAAATACGCAAATGTTTAAAACATAGCACATAACGTAATAAAAATCCCAATCCCGTATAATCAAATTGTTTGACAATACGAATATATCGATAACAACTTTCATCCTTAGATATCTTTGCGGAGCTACATTTTGCAAAAAAAAAAAAAAAAAAAAAAAAAGAAAACAAAAACAAATAAATACATAATATTCAAGTTAGAATTTTAGAAATTTAAAATTTTTAAAATTTTAATAAGGTAAACGTCCCATTAGTAAAGTAAGTGATCGAATATGTACAATACCTATATCCGGATTTACACAAAATTTATTATTATTAATTTCAAATGCTTTTTTATTACTGTATTATAATTTATTTGCATTTAAAGATTACAATTAAATTATAATATTACGTTTAAAAAAACGTGTTTGAGACTAATATTAATTTAAATAAATAAAGTTTTATGTAAATGTTATATTAGTTTCAAATGCTTTTTATCTTAAAGATAAATTTGAATTGTCTTTTGTCATTAAAGATCTATTTATATTAATATTTCCCATCAGTATATTAATTTTCTAATTGTGATCGGACACTGGAACAATTACCTCTAGATGTCCGGTACATTGACGCATTCTATTATTTATTTAAATATTTTAATTAATAATTGTTACAAATTCAAGTTATAATTTTTCCTTGCTTAAGGGAGTTTTGAGTTTTCAAACGAATATAAGTATTTATATTATACAAAAATCTTTCTAATACTATAAATTGTATTATTTATGACAACTTATGTTTAAACATCCAATTTCTGAGACAT